AGAACAGGAGAAATGACCCCAGAGGCTCTGCTCCTTGGAGGTGACACTCAGGGACATTGCCTGGCTTTCTCTATGTCCCCGTGGGGTGAACATCTACCAACAACATGGAGATCATTTCACCCTATCTAAAATAAGTTTCAAAAAAGGGTCAAATCATAGCTGTTATTCAAATATGAAACGAATAGGTGTTAAAATGTTTACTTATTAAAGGCTAAATGAGATCATAAAGATTAAAGATAAGCCCAGGTCAGTGTGGCTCCAAGGTTAGAGCCTTAGCCTGTGCCCCAGTGTCTCAGGTTTGATTCCCAGTCAAGGTCATATACCTGGGTTGCAGGTTTGATCCCTGCCCGGCCGGGGCTCATTCAGAAGAAAACAGATAGATGTGTATCTCTTGCATCGATGTTTCTCTCTCTCTCTTTCCCTCCCTCCCTCCCTCCTTTCCACTCTCTCTAAAAAATAATCAATGGAAAAAATATCTTCGGGTGAGGATTAACAAAACAAATAAACAAACAAAAAGATTAAAGGTAAGATCAGTAGGGGACCTGAGTGGTTATAATCAGTTTAAAACTGATTTCAACAGAATTCAAAGAACAGGCATATTTAGAGATTTGGAATGTTGAAGTAAATGTGCAAATAGCCTGGCCGGTGTGGCTCAGTGGTTGAGCATCGACCCATGCACCAAAGAGGTGACTGGTTCGATTCCCGGTCAGGGCACATGCCCAGGTTGTGGGCCCAGTCCCCAGTAGGGCGCATGTAGGAGGCGGCTGATTGATGTTCTCTTTCATCAATGTTTCTATCTCTCTCTCCCTCTCTCTCTAACATAAAGAAAAAATATATTTTAAAAAAATGTGCAAATGGAGGCAAACTGGTTTTTCCAGGGAGAGGGAAAGGGGAGAGTAAATTGACCTTCCAAGGTCAGCACATAAATTTTGTGTCTATAACTACAGATTTTTTTTTCTTATTGATTTTAGAGAGAGAGGAAGAGGGAGAGAGAGAGAAACATCTATGTGAGAGAGAAACATTGATCAGTTGCTTCCCATACATGCCTGGACTGGGGATCAAACCCGAAAACGTTTGGTGTATAGGATGATGCTCCAACCAACTAAGCCACCCAGCCAGGGCTATAGCTACAAATTATTTTGCATTGGTATCAAGTAGCTACAATTTACAGAGTTGTAAAATGGCTCAAAGACACTTAAAAAACTATAACTGGAAAACCTGAAGGGTGACCTGTGGACAACACATCTTTTTTTCTTTAACTTTTTCTTTATTAATTTGTTTTGTTACAGATGTTTCTCATTTTTCCCCCATTGACACCCTCCTCCCCTTCCCCCCTACCCCATCCCCAGCTTTGTTGTCTATGTTCATTAGTCATGCATACACACATGTAAGTTCTGTGGTTTATCTCTGTCCCCTAGACATCACATCTTTTTCCCTTGAACTTTTTCCCTGCAAGACCAACCTATTCAATTTCATTCTTTTTCTCCCTCCAGGCCAGGTCGCTGGTGATTTGTATGTGAACTCTTCAGTGAACACATGATAAATTAAGTTACCCTAAGCAAATAGTAAAGGCAAATAGTAATGATTGTAGAACAAATAAAAATATATTGATTATATTTACAACGTTTAAATAAAACTTAAGACAATGACCGAAGAGATGTGTTTCCTGTGTGTTTTCTGCTCTGCGCCTCCACCTTATTATCAACCGATTTTCACTTTCAACTCCATTGTTGCCGGAAATTTATGAAGCAACTTCATTGCTGATTTATGGGAATCCCTAGTTTACAACAGGCAAGCTGACCCAGATGAGGGATTACAGGAACAAAGGAAGTAGGTCAGGTCCATGCTCTTAAATGGGGAAACCACAATGAGGAATTTACATCACAAACAGAGTAATATTAAATGATTTTAAGGGGTTGGAAGTGGGGTGAGGGACTTACTACGTGAGATGAAGACTAGGGAAGGAGCAGCCATTCATTCAATCCATCATTCAAACAGATACTTTTACAGCTAGTCACATGGTAGGCACCGTGGTTAGACAAATAAAACAAGGTCCCTGTCCTGTAGTTCTTTAGAAGTGAGGCAGAAGTGTCCCTGATCTGATCAGGTGAGAAATGAGACAGGCCTGGAGGTGAGATTTTAGAAGTTGTATGATAAGGTGGCCCTTTAAAGTGTGTGTGTGTGTGGAGGGGGTGTCTTCCTTTGCTGGTGCTGCTCCCTGCAATGCACATAATGGGTACATAACTATTAATTGTTTGTACAATACCTAATTAGCAAATTAGTAGTAACAACAAATTAGTAGTAAATTTCTTTAAATACATATTTATTATTTATTTTTATAAATACAAGTACTGGTTTTTTGTCAGAATAAAAAAATTTAAAGTGGATTAAAATAGGTAGTTAATTACGAATAAGTTCCATAATCATTAACCAATAATTAGCAAATTCCCTACCACGGTTCAGGAACTGCCGCGAGGTCCATTCGTTGGTTCTTGCCAGTCTGGAAACTTTGGATGCTGGCCGCCACTGGTGGTTCTCAAACTCTCCTACTTTCTCAGGTTCAAAAAGTACTGCCAGGCGAATTAAGCCGTCTGTGGGTTTGTGACATCTTTGAAGGTGGTTTTTTTTTTGTGTTTTTTTTTTGCCTTGCCTCTGATCTAGAAAAAAGATTGCAAGGAATCTGGGTGAGTGCCAGAATGCTCAGAAAACAGCCCCACCTCCCAGCCCTGGGCACCGGCACCTTCACTACCCATGAACGCGTCACTCTGGATTTGGAGCAAAAGCTTGACACCTTACACACGGTGGCTGAGAACTTAAACTAGTTCACGGAGAGTCTTGGTTAATGGATGATAGATGAAGTAGCGGGTTATTAAGGGAAATCAGGGAAGTTCCAGGTGTACCTCTGGCATTTAAGGACAGTGTCTTCAAGTGCAAACATTGGACTCTCCCTCTCTTTCCCTCAGTGTTGTGGCCGGAATTCTGGGCTAGTGGCCTTTCATCTGATCTGTGATGACATTTCTGATCTTCCTAAGAATACTGAACCAGAAAAGGTCATGCTAGAACACCCAGAAGATCAGGTGAGCTGTCTCCAGGGGCAGAGTCTGCCTTGAACACAGCCCCAGATTTAGGACACAAGCACACCATGCCAAGCACACCAGCACCTGCTAAATACAGAATTCCAGTGTGGCTCCTGCTAATGGTGATCACATTGATCTCCTTTGTGCCAAATGGCTGGGGGGCAGGGCAGGTGGGATTTCGTCAAGGTGGTCAATTTCCAAATGTGTACTCCAGGAACATTCCCTTGACTCTAAGCATTGAGCAGTTTCCAGATATTCTGGTCTTGGCTAGCTCCACGTTATCACCTCAAGATATGTGGCATTATTGGGGTGGGGGCTTTCAATAGCACGCCCTCCTGAGGATCCAGCATAACTTCCAGGTACAGGGATGGTTTAGATTCAGAGCTCAAGGGTCCCCATCACCCTCCTCCCTTCCTCCTTCTCTTTTCTTTCTTCCCTCCCTTTCTTCTTGTCTTCCTTCTCTCTCTTTCCTCTTCTCCATTCTTCTTCCTTTCTGCTCCCTGACTTTCTGTTATGAGCCTTCTCTCTGTCGCATGGATGACTCTGCCAGGTCCTCCAGGATCACAGGACGGAAGACATGTCAGTGAGACTCAGGGCTGCCCCTGCCTTCTGGCTCCTCCAAGGGCAGAGCCCTCAGCCCTGGTAAGTCCATGGGACTATGGAACCACGAGCATTGATGGGAAAGAAGAGAGGGGCTTTTGGCGCTCTCATTTTCCTGTGCATAGAGTCATTCTCAATCGAGGTTTTGGGGTGAAAACTGGGGCCTGATTCAGTGGTGGAAATCCCAGGCTTCAAGGCTGGGCTGGTGCAAGGCAAGGGCGGGATTGCGGACAGGAAGTGGTCTGGCTGCGTGGGTGTGAAGGAAGGGCTTCCTCCCTCGCTGACACTTTCTCATCCTCCCTCCCTTCCCCCGCCCCACAAACAGCCCATACAGACGCTGTGTACAGGGCTGGGCACACAGCAGCAGTGTGAAGAGAACCAAGCTAATCCAATCCCCGCCAACTTGTCTACTCCCCTTGTCCCTCCTGGAATAATCTAATAGTTTCTCAGATTTATACAGAATTTCTATTTTGTCAGAAAAGGATTTGGGGAGCTGGGGCAGACCCTAATGTTAATGGGAGCTTGGTAAGAATGTTCTTCACAGTCGAGCTCAGTGAACATTCGGTTTTCAGAACTCTCCTCACATCACTTGTCTTGGAGGGGACTTGGCCCCAGCACCGTGACTTACACCCTGGGCTACACTAGTTTTGGTTCCCTGACTCCAAATTTACTGTTTTGGCATCAAAAGCGAAGGTCATACTGTCCCGAAATATAAGCTCAGGCTCAATGAACACACAGCTCTGGGGGGCAAAGCCCTGCATTCAGCAGCTACTTTAAGTTCTTGGTAGCAGATGAGGACATTCGCACACTGGAGCCAAGTGGCTGGACCTGGGGGCTATTAAGGACTTGGAGGAATCATATATAATGTGAAGGTTTCTGACCAGGAGGAGGATGGGGCCCTTTATAAAACAGGTGAAAACAGGCTGAGAAGCATGAATACAGCTTTGATCGTGTTGAGCGGGGCGCACTGGTGAGATGCCCTCTCGGGGACACGAGGTGGGAAGCTGCATGTACAGGTCTCCCTGAACGAGACAGCTGGTTCTGGGCATAGACGGGGAGTTGTCAGTATAGGGAGAGATGGTGACTGAGGCCCCAGGAAGAGGAGCCCCTCCGTACTGAGAAGCAAGTAGAGAAAGAAGAAGAAACACAGAAGCCAGGGTTTGGAAGTAAAGGAAGAGAAATGCTGAAATATGCCCATCAGACCTGGCAACCAGAGCTTGCTGGGGACCTCCGAGTGGCCAGTTTCAGTGAGGCGGCAGGAGCAAAGGATACATCTGCGATGGCAGAGACGAATAGAGTCACAGAATCCAGTTTCTCCACCCAATCATGAAGCTACATTTTATTTCAATACCTCCCTTGTAACTGTGGGATTGAGGTCTGACAGTGAAATGTGGGAAGAAAATTATTCACTGTCACCTCTAAGATGTAGCCTCTCCCCACACCCTCCATGTACCCCTTCTCCTGAGTCTCCCAGGGGGAGTAGGAGATCGAGGGGGACTGCAATGCCTTGAGGGTACAGAGCAACTAAATGGAAGGAGACTGGTCCCTGGATTATCATTTGGAGCCACGGGGATGAGGCCCAGTGGGTTCACTGCCACAGGGCCAGCAGGAACAGACACCCAGTTAAATAGCAGTGACACAGGAGGGGTCAGAGCAGATCAGCAGTCAGGACAGCTGCACAGGTCTGCAAGCCCCTTTGTGACCCTGCTGGGGTGGCAGGGAAGGTCCTTTGGCCTTTGCTCAGCCTTCCCACCTGGCTTAGAGGAGGGAGGGCGGATGACCAGGAGGGGAAAGTGAGATCCGTGAGCTACAAAACCACCTAGGAGACAGGGGACACCTCTCCAGGAAGAGAAAATAGATGGTGTCTAAATTCTAAGAACTTGGCAAAAGGAGAGACAGTAACCACCTTTATTATCCAGATTCTAGAGAAAATGATTCTGTGTCACAGCGGAACCTACTAGCTGCCATAGTGGAGGTGAAGTGAGCCATGAGGGTGGTCTCGGGGCCGGATCCGCTCAAGGCTCGGAGTCAGGTGCCCGTGGGACGTGGCCCAGGGCTCCGTGCAGGAGGCCTGGCAAGGTGCCTCCCCATCTAACATGGGTGTGGCCGTGGGGGAGATGACCAGGACAGGGAAGCAAGACCCATGAGCCGCAAGACAACCCGAGGAGCTAGCAGATGACCTCCTCAGGAGGAGGATCGGTGGGGAGGCCTGGGCGCAGGTCCCCTTGGACGCGGATGCGGAGGGAACCCTGCTCCCAGGTGTGAGAAAGGCCGAGGCTCCTCGCTGGGCTTCACCGGGGCAGGCAGCCGGCCACGGGGTCCGGCCGCAGCACGGGCACAAAGTTCATGGGGCACAGCAGCAGCGGGCACATCTTCTCGTGCTCCTTCAGCACCTCGCTCAGGTGCTTCAGCTCCTCCGTCAGCTTCCCGATCTCCCTCCGCAGCACTGTGTTCTCCTGCTCCAGGCACTCATATTCCTGGGGAAGAACGGGCCACGTCATTTCTGAAAACACCTTCTCTTCCCCGGTCCCGGCAGGTCCCCCCGCACCGCGAGGCTCACCGCCTTCCCACGCAGCTTTCTCCGTGGCCAAGCTCCCCTCCCCCACTCAAGGCTGCGCATTTGCTCAACGTCTGTCCCTTCCCACCAGGAGGAGAGGGCCACCGGGGCATTTGTCGAGAACACTTTATGAGGTATAGTTTACATAAAATAAAATGCACCCTATTTTCAGTGTGTAATTCAGTGAGTTTTGACAAAGGTGAATAATGACATGGATTAAGACGGAATGTTTCCATTACTCGGGGTACGTTCCCTAGTGCCCCTTTGCAGCCTCCCCTCCCCCCAACTGCTGACCCAAAGGTCTCCCTTGGGTTCACTGCCACAGCCCCAGCACCTGGAACAGCGCCTCGGACATAACAAATGTTTGTTGAGTAAATGGATGGAGATACCTCTTGCTTTGGCTTTGCTCCAATACTCATGGGTTAAATTTCCTCTGTGTAGGAGATTACAGAGGCTCAGAACTAGAGGGGAATCATAGAGGCCCCTGAGCCCAACCCACACAATGTAGAAACCTTCCCTGTGTAATTCTGGCTCAGACATCCGACTTGTGCTGAACACTCTCTCTCCTTCAAACCCACCTATTGGGCTTGGTTCCACCTTATGGAACCACATAGAGTAAATTCAATACTTTTTCAACATCACAGTTCTTGAAATGTTAGGGGACAACTCCATACCACTTCCCTTTAGGTATTCTCTGAGCTCAACTGTCTCAGGTCCTCTGGGTTCCTTGGGTTTAAGGACTCCTGGGCCTTTTGTCCCCCTGGACAGCACCCAACACACTCTCCAATTTGCTAGGAGTTCTGAGAGAGGGTCATTCCTAAAATGCAATGCATGATTCCAGGGATGGCCTGACCCTGCAGACGGCAGATTGTGGAGGTGATCGGCTCTGGGCTGGACCCAAGCCTACAGCCACCCCCCTCTGGGGACTCTCCCTGAGCATGTGGAGAAGTGAAGCTATGTTTGCATCTGCTGCTTCTCTGTCTCTACTTTACGGACGATCGATGGTTTGGAGCTTGAGGATGGGCCTTACACCTGCCTCTACTGAATTTCACCCTGTTCCCTTGAGCATCTTCCAGCCTAGCAACTCTTTCAGAATCAGCTCATGGATTAGTGATACCACAAGCTATAAGCTGTCCTCAAACTTGATAAGCAGGTCAAGTAGGTCTTCTTTTTTTTACATCCAAGTCATTAATTACTTCTACAATAGTCGGCCAATGGCAGAGGCCCTACTGCATACCCACAGAGACCCTCTTAAGACTGGCAATCTTATTTAAATCTTGCTGAAATGTTGTTTTCAGACATTTCTAGGTCGATTCTCACTATTCAGCTATGTTGTGCCATGCATACCATGTTTCCTGAGCAGGGGGCCCAACCTTATTGTCCATCGCATCTTTTCTCTTACTAGTAATTTTTAAGAAAGATCTTTTAGAAAGTCTGATTTCTTACAGGCCCTTAAGACACATGCAAATTCTCAACGCTGCCCCTGGACTGCCTTCCTCTTTTTCTCTGTGGGCCCAGCTCTAGCTCACCACCTCCAGGAAGGCTTCCATGATCCCAGCACCTAATGGAAGCACAACTCTTATGTGTTTTATTCAGTTTTGTATCGTATTCAATCATACGTAAATAAGGTCTCTCTCCTAAGATCAGAACTATGTAACACACGGGGCCTCTGCTACCCTCTCCTGGATGGAAGAATGGGGATGGGAGCCTAGGCATCATGGGAAGCCTGCCTACAGCACAGGGGTGAGAAGCACACACACACACACACACACACACACACACTCCACCCTGCAACTGGAAATACTCTTCACTTCTAACACAAGGAGAATAAATTTGAATAATTCCAATGACCTAACATTTAAACTAAATTCCAAAGAATAGGAAACTCTTCCTGTGGCAAATATTCCAAACTGACTTTCCATATGGACGGAATTTCGTGGCCAGACACTGTGAGCCTCTGAGGTTTATCTCTGAAGCCACGCGGGGCCGCCCTGCTCCCCCGGCGCCCAGCCCAGCGAGGCTCCGGAGCTCCCGCACGCCGCCTAGCAGGCCCGCTGCCGCCTTCCCCACGGGGACTTTCTCCTCTGGGATTTAAGTTTTACTCACAAATATACTGAGGGACTTTTATCGAGCTGAGGGAATAAAAAAAAGAGAAGTAAAAATCTTCTTCAGGTAAGACCAGTTCTACAAAAATAAAAGGAGGAGCTGGGAGGGGGAGAGGAAAGAGCGAGACATGCTGCACCAAGAAGAAAGTACCTGGACTTCACAGACATGAAGATGATAAGCACAGTAGGCCCTTCGTTGCTCCCGAAGAGAGGCTCAGTTTAGCTCACTACTGCTGAGTTTGGGATCCTTTGCCCCGGGAGGGTGTGAGGTTACTGTGCTGTCTTCCTGGGTATCTGCCAGGACATTGTCACAAAGCAGAGACTACAAATCAGCGGTGGTGAAGTCTGCAAATCCCAGTTCTGTCTCAGAAATTAAGCTGTCTGGGGCAGTGATTCTCCACCGGGGCGATTTGGGCAGTGCCCGGGGGACATGTAGAGTGTCTGGAGACCGTCTGGGGCAGGGGGTGCTACCGTATCCAGAAGGCAGAGGCCAGGGATGCTGCTTAATGTTCTACAGAGCACAGGACAGCCCCCCCTAACAAGGATGGAGAAACCCTGGCCCTGGATGTCTAAGAGGCTGATTGGGGAATGTGAGGCTGTCTGGGGACATTCAGGGTCCAGGATGTCTCTGAGGATCAGGACTGGTACAGTAGCTAATGTGGGTACCAGGGACCAGAGATGACAATTGAGGCAGGAAAGGCGATGAGTGGGGAGGAAAAGGCCATCAGGAGAACATACCACACACAGACCCCATTTCGCAAGCCAGAAACTGAAACTCTGGGAGACATGGTGACTTTTCCAAGGTCGCGGAGACTGGAGCCTGCTTTCAAGGTCAACTGCAACTGTCACGCAGTGACAGAGATTCAGCTTTCACTTGGCGGTGCCGCGGCTCACATTTCCCCATGGCGGTTACTGGCAGAAATGGGCTGTAAGAGCTCAGGGTTTTATAAGTCAATTCCCAAATCTTACGCTAATACCCTTCCTGGCAGAACAATGTGTCACCATCAACAGCTGTAAAAATTAGTGTCATCACGTTTCTAAACCAAGTGTGAACCAACACGAAGCAGCCTCTTGGAACATGCAATATCTGAAAAAACCATGGCAACACATACCAGGACCATATTACTCAAGAAATGTGTCCGTTTGTGACACTTGGGGGTTCCTTGGGATGGCATCGTTGCCTTCCTTTTCTGACTCAAAATTCTTTCCCAGTCTTACACCTTTGGGTGCCTGGCTCCAACCAATCTGACCCACTTCTGAGAGAAGCATCTCTCAGCTTGTCTCAGGGAGCCGGACTGTTCATTTGGGGTTCCTATTTGCGAATGTGGACTCAGGCGAGTGCCTAGTGTTCAGAGATGAATAGGGGTTGAAATCCCCATGAGAGGTGTAAGTGCCTTGCAAGGGTGATTCGAAAACAGAGAGCACTGAGGTCCACAGACACACTTTAGAAACTGCTTCTCCTCACTGTAATCCAACCTCCAGCACCCATTACCCTGAGGGTGAAACTTGGCCTGAGGAGCGACCCCTCCCTCTCCCTGTCCTCCAGGGAGGTCCTGCCTTGGAGGACAGCCTCTCTCTGGCTTTGGAGATGGAGAACTGGGAGGGAGGGAGGGACGGAGGTGGCCAAGAGACTTATAGGAGCTGGGACTAGAGGAGGTGTTTCAGGGTGTTGGCGGTGAGTCAGTGAGGCGGGCATGAGAGAAAGGTGGGGATTTTATATGTCTTGCTCTAAACATTCCCCTTTCTGGTACTCAAGAAAGGAAATAAAGAGCTTGAGTTACTCTGAGATGTTTGTGATGCCACCGCAGCCTAGGATAGAGGAAAATGTGGGACGGAGACTTCACGCAAATCTCCGCAGGGAGTAGCAAGCTGCCAGGGCTGCTGCCCAGTGGCTGTCCCTGCCCCAGTGTCTCCCTGTGAGCTGGCCCCTCCGTGCACTGTGTCCCCTCGCCCCAGGGGCCTGAGGGGCTTTCTGCCCTGACAGCACTGCGCCAGGGGCTCCGCCCTCAACTCACCGCAGCCCAGTAAAGTCATTCTTCACATTGCTTCCAGACACCCCACTCCCGAAAGCCTAAAAACAGTCTTTTTAAAACTATCTTTACTTTTTTTTTTTACTCTGTTGGCCATTTAGAACATCGATCCCATAACTGTGACATGCTCCCTGGGAGGAGGTGAGGAAGGAACAGGTGGGGATTATCCGTGTGGTGCCCTCGGGCCAGAGGTGACACCCCTCTTCTACAGGAGGCCTGGGTGTTCCCATTTCCCGGGGCCAGCCACCAGCTCCCTCACACCCTCTGGGACTAATGACATGCGTGTGGTTAGTGACGGTGCGGCCCCTAGCTTTGAGGTCTGCACACAGATGGAGCCACTGTCCTGGCCTCCTGCACACTGTGTTTCTCAGCAAAACTGGCCTTGCTCAGGGGATCTGCCAGGGTGCGGGTCCTCATCCGTTCTTCCAGCTCCACAGAGGAAGAGGAGGGACCGGGTTTTGGATTAATCAGCCCCATTGCTGGGAAGGACACCTGGCCAAAGTAGTCATGTCTGTGCACAGCACAGGCTAGGAACCCCACAGAAGGGCCTCCACCTGCGGCTCTAAGAGGGATCAGGTGGGACTACATGGGGCCCCGCCCCTACGTTTCCCAGGCACCTGGTTCATTTGGTTGTTGAATCCAACAGTGACAGAAATTGAGACACACCTGTCTTAACTCTGCAGTAGATTATTTCTGTTGCTTTCTGTGATAGGCAGGATAACAGCCCCCAGAGACGTTTACATCTAATCTTTGGGACCTGTGAATATGTTACTTTAAGCAGCAAAAGGGACTGTGCGGATGTGAATTAAGTAAGAACCTTAAAATGGGGAGATGAAGCTGGATGATGCAGGTCGACCCAATGCAATCACAAGAGTCCTCGTAAGTGAAAGAAGTCAGCTATCAGAAAAGGAGATGTGACTACGGAAAAAGTGTCCCAGTAATGCAGCGTAAGAGAGACTCGACTGGTCAGCTGGCTTTGAAGATGGAAGGGACAGAGAAGCTTCTAGAAGCTGGAAAAAGCAAGGAAACAGATTCTTATCCAGAGCCTCCAGAAGGAATGCGGGGGAGGGAGCACGAGAAGGAACACGGGGGAAAGAGCAAGCCCCCTTCACACAGAGAAGAAATTACCTTTCACATACATGCTTTTAGCCCAGCGAGACCCATTTCAGACACCTGATCTCCACAGCTGTGAGCTAATACATCTGGGTTGTTTTAAGCCACCAACCCGTTGTAATCGGTAGTCACAGGACACAAATATACTTTCCACGGGAACTCCCACGCTTCCCAAGGACAGGAATAAGATCTTACTCCTCCTCTCTGTGACCCAATAGCAGTGCCTTGCCCACAGCAATGCTTCGCCATTATTTGTGGGCTCAATCTACTTGACCTTGCTCTGTGAAAGACCTTGTCCAAGTCATTTAGTTGCCTCTCTACACGTAATCTGAGAGTTCTTTTGTTGTTGTTTTTATATTAATGTACCTGGCTTGGACTGGACGCTTCTTGAGGGGACACGCCCTAGCTGTCCAACTGGCACATGTCCTGAGCACAGGGCCACGCCCTGGGAGCCCCTCTGGGTTATTCGCTAACATGAAGCTAGAGGTAGGATGGCTTCAGGAGCAAGGCGGGAGGGAGAAAAGAGGGGGGGGCATTGCAGTTCTTCTGTGGACATTTTACAGAACTCACAGAGGCTGGGAAGGACCTTCCCTAACCCTAGTCTGAAAATCCTGAGGCCCAGCTTCCCTATTGCCACGGGTCACCCCTCCCTGGAGTACATACGCTCTAAACCTGTTCTCTGTTCATTGTCAAAGGGTTGTCATTGCTCTCAAAACCCCTTGAATTCTCCTCTGCTGTCAATGCCCGCAGACTGGTCTTGCTGAGACACTCTATGGCAAGACGGCATGACAGGAGAAAGTCCAACTAAAATCACACCAATATTCCCACCGATGTTGTGCAAAGATGGGAGCACGATACTGTCGCCCACTCTTTGGACAGATCCTTGAATGCCTCTGAGCCAGGTCCTGATGGGGAGTGGTTCCCACGTCTTCGGGGTCGAGGAAAATGGAAGAGTTTAGGATAAATCGCAGGCTCCTGATTTGGGTGATGAGAAAGGTGATTGCTCCGTTAAGTACAAATTGAAGACAGTGAGAAGAGAACATCTCAGGGTCCGCAGACCCTCTTGTGACCATGTTGCATGTGGGCAGCCTGCAGCTGACCATTTGGAACCATGGAGGTGTGGGCTTATGGCTAGAACAGAGGACTTTCCTGGAGTGATTGATGTTGGGAGATCAGATGTCTAGATTAAATGTTCCAGGGTGAGAAGGAAAAAGGACAGAGTCTGGTCAAGAACATTTAAGAAAACACACAGGGCCCTGGCAGGTTTGGCTCAGCAGTTAGAGATCGGCCCTGGACCCAAGGGTCCCGGGTTTGGTTCCCGCTAAGGGCACGTACCCCGGTTGCAGTTTGTCTCCGGCCCCGGTAGGGTCTCTCACATCGATGTTTCTCTCTCTCTCTCTCTTCCCCCCTCTCTCCCTCCTTCTCTGTCTGAAGATAAATGCAAAAATGTCCTCTGGTGAGGATAAAAAAAAGAAAATAGACAGAGGGAGAAAATCTAACAAAGAAACAGAGAAAAAGTGGTTAAGCGGGTCAGGAGTAGGAAATGTAATTTTTTTTAGAAGCTAAAGACCTTGAAAGAAGGTTGGAAGAAGGGTGTCCAATGTTCCAGCAAGGTCAAGGGTAAGGGTAATGAGACTAGAAAGAGGTCCCTGGACCAGGCAGTGGGAGCAGCTCCTCTAGGAAGTGTGTGTGTGTGTGTGTGTGTGTGTGTGTGTGTGTGTGTGATGGGTGGGGAGGGAGAGGAAGCAGAAACAAAATCAGGATTGGGGAATAAATGGGAACTGAGGCCATGGAGACAGCACATCTGTCCTTCAGAAGCAGAAAAGTGAGGGGAGGGAAGGAAAGAAATGGGCACTAGTTTAAAACGAAATCAGGCCCTGGCCAGTTTGGGTCAGCCGGCCCCCGGACCAATGAGTCGCAGGTTCGATGCGGCCAGGGGCACGAACCTCGGTTGCCGTTCCTCCCCGGCCCTGGTCCGGGTTGTGCGGGAGGCAACCAGTCGATGTGTCCCTCTCACATCGTTGTTTCTCTCTCTGTCCCTTTCTCTCCCTCTCTCTCCCACTCTATCTGAAGATAAATAGAAAAATATCCTCAGGTGAGAATTAAAAAAACAAAACAAAAAACGGAATCAGAATCAAAAGGATGGTTTTTTGCTTTGTTTGGTCTTTATCTTATTTTTTTAATGAAGGACACTTGAATATGAGATGCAACCAGTGGATGAGGGAGACACGAAGAGGCCAACGAGCCAAGAACCAGAACACTGGGCTGGAATAACAGCAGAATTAGACATGCATGTGGCCAAGTTGGTGATGACGAGGACATGACCTCAGGGCCACCACCACAGTGCAAGGACCGACGATGGCTCCTCTCCGTGGCCCTATCGTGGCTCTGCCCCAACCACAGTCTCACCTCATGGAGTTTGTCAGCCTTCTGGGTTTGCTTCTTCCGACTTCTCTGAGCAGCAACTCGGTTTTTCTCTCTCCTTCGGACCTTCCTGTCATCATCCTCGGGGCTCTGGGGGGAAACGTGTAGTCAGGAGTGATGGGGAGGCCCCCCACCTCACCCTTGTCTGCCCTGTCTCCTCATTCAGCATTGCTCACTGCCTTCGCCATTTTCCCTGCAGTTTCAGCGGTGCTCGCTGCGACACCAGTGGGGTAACAGTAGCCCCTTGTTCAGGAACACTCCTCACGTGCTTCGCTGCTAATCCCCACGACCACCCTGAGAAATGTGTGGTGTGACTGCCATTTAAAAGATGAGGAATAAGAAACTCAGAGAGGTTAAGGAACTTGCTCCAGGTAGCACGGCTAGTAAGTGGGTGAATGGGAAGTGGAACTCAGGTCTGTTGGACTCCACCAATGCTCCTCAACCTCTACCCCACAGGGCGTGTGCCTGGAAGAGCTGTGGTGTTGGCGTTGTGCATCTGAAAATGGAAAAGGCAGCTCTCTGGGTCTTGCTGTGCACTAGACCTTACACCACCACACACAAACAGGGACTTCTGATACTCTGCACAAATCACGATGACTCTTATAACTCATCGCAACCACGGAACTCTACCAGCACACCAAATGATCTTAAACACCACTGACGATATGCTCATTTGAACCATGCTCGATTGACATTTTGTTTCGCAGGTCAGAGGAAATCAGAAAGCAAATTTATGATGTGTCTTAAAAGCCCTCAGCTACATATAAGATTTAACCAAACTTAGTCAAATCTTCCGAGTTATCATGCAGCCAGCAGGCAGAAAAATGCACCAACATGGTAAAAACACTTCATTCAGTTACAGGAAACATGGAGAAGAGAGCAGTGTTTTCTCTCCAGAACCCTGTGAGAAGATACCATGGGGATGAAGGGGGGAGGGGAGGATACTACCTTTAAAGAGTTCAAAAGCCAAGAGGCTAGTGGAATACAAACATAGGAAAGCTACTCAAGTATCAATGTTAATTGAAAGCAAATATTGATAACATAAAGTAATGAATATGTTCAGTTATCATTTTATTTGGTCTTGTATTCCAAATTAGAGACACATACCATCTTCCCCAAGTAATGCAGGTAAAGAATTTTTAGTATATGAAAGAATAAAGAAGAGTCGATGACAAATATAAGTAGCATTACAAGTAGAAGAGGCCTGGAGCTTAAGGGAACAGACACAAGGTGTTAAAATGTAGTTTTTTTAGAGGCAAAAAAAAAACCACCTCTTGGTAAACAGAACCAGAACACCACAGGAGGGAAATGTGGTGTAGAGGACAGGGCTTTCGCTTTAGAAATACACAGCTCCTGTTTTTTTTCTCAAACTGCCATTATGGCCTTGGGGACCATATTCTCTGAATCTTCAGTTTTCTCATTTATTGTAAGTATGATTCATTCATTCTTTCAATAGTGTTATCTGAGTGCCTGCCATGTGCTGAACACTACCCTAGGCACTGGAGAGACATGCGTGGAGCTGCAGCTTGAGGCTGGCAGGAGATAAAATGAGGTTTTTTCTTAAAGCTCCCAGCACACAGTATGCCCTTAATAACCTCTGTTGAGGTTGCTGCTATTTTGTATAGAGTCCCTTATTGTGCTTGTCACCAAATCACACCTCGTTGTTCTTCATAATCGGAAAGTCATAGGGCCCAATGAAACTGCCTGCTGCCTACCCTCTGGGAACCAACACTCTAAACCGGATTATCACCTATCATACAGCCGCACCTGACAACCCAGAAGAAACATTTATCAAGACAGAAGGAGGAAGCAAAGGGTTGAGAAGTTCATATATTATTAACCATACTCAATTAGTCCTCACAAAAATCATTAGAGGTTGATACTATTCTATGCACTCATTTTACAGGTGGGGAAAACCGCAGACTCAGAAAAGTTAAGCAAATCGTCCATGGCTCTTCAGCCTGTGTGTGGCAACGTCAGGCCGAAAGTCAGATCTGTGCGACTCCAGCGTCACCCGATGACACGATCTGCCAAGCACCGAGGTGAGAAGGGTGGCATAACGCTGAGCTACTCGGCCCTGCAGAAGCTGGACTGAAAGTCTCCCAGGGCTGTCCTCGCACACTCCTGGTCTCAAGTTTCCTCGGTGCGCAGTTGTAAATGTTACGGGGACAGCGCAGAGGACTGGACGCCGGCTACCGGTTTCCACCAGCGCGGGGGGTGGAGTCCGCCGCTTGCAGGCCCCCACCCCGCACCCCGAGGCTGACGGACCAGAGTTCCCCGTCCGTTCGGGAGGCAGCCAGGGAAGGTTAGATGTTGCAATGTGCCTGGGCACAAGTTGTCACTTCGGGCTGAATTTCCCCTCTCGGCACCCACTCGGAGCTCCCGAAAAGGGCCGCGCGCGGCACCGGGGCAGCACGGACTCCACGTGCGGGGCAACGTGGACAGTGCGCCGCTCAGCCAGGCGTCGGCGCCCTCGGGTTTCTCCTCGTCTGCGCGAGCAGGAGCCGTCACCATGCTGTACACTGCGGGCACCGGGCGCGCGGCCCTGGACCACACTCGAGCCTGCACCCCCCCCACTCAACGGTCAGCGCCCCGGAACCCCAGCACCACCCTCCTCGCGCCTTCCAGCGCCGGACCCCCGCATCCCTGCCGTCTTCCCTGCGCCTCTAGTTCGCTACCTGCGGCTGAGAATGGTTCCCGGGCGCCGCGATGTTCCTCTGCAGGACGCTGCCGGCAGCCGGGAGCCCTTGCGACATGCCGGGGGCTCGTCGGCCCCACCCGCCAGCCGCGCAGCCCTGCCGAGGAGCGGCCGCGCGGCCCGCCGCGCCCTGCACGCGGGGCGCTGCCTACGGGCTCTCTCCTGGCACCGGCATCCTCGCGCCCGCACCTGCCCGCCGCCGGCCCCCTGCCGCGCCCCGCCCCTCGGGCTTCCCGCTCGCCCGGCTCGTGTAGCCTCTGCGCGTCGCCCGGGCTTCCCCACCCCCAGTCCCAGCCTGCGGTCCTTCCCGTCCCCAAGTCTGCCCGCCCCCTCCTGCTCCCATCCCTCCTCATTTCCTCCTCTCCGGGCCGCACCTCGGGGTCCCAAATCCCACCCCTGTTGTGGCTTTCCGCTGGGTCCCCCATCCCCCGCTCTTCGTGGAAGTCACGTGGTGGCTCCGAAACCTGGAGAGAACGCGAAGCCCACCCACGGGAGTCGTCGCTTGGGCGTGTGGGGGTCAGGGAGGTGAGGTGCAGCCTGTGGGGTCCTTCGGCTGCTCTCGGAGAACTCAGGGTGAGAAAAGCATGTGGGTGGTTTGGGGTTGGTGGTTTTTCCCGTTCCCATCAAGGTATCGTGGTGCGCATGGGCCCCGCCTCCCCTCAACTCCGGGGTCACCGTCTTGGGGGACTTTCTCCCCTGTGATCAGCCACCTGGGCACCACTCTCACTCCTTCCGCGGCCTGGGCTCCCCTGCCCGGGAGGAGACAGCTGGCTTCACCGAGTCCACCGCGCCTGACCGTCACGGTCGCCCCAGGGCCTTTCTGCGGGAGCACTGACTCCTCTGGTCTACGGTCCCGCCGGGCTGTGGGCGGGAGCGAGGGGTGCGGCTCCGAGGGTGAATTCCCTCAGTGGAGGGAAGGGAGGAGGCTGCACTGACCAGGCTTCCCTGAGTGCGACTCTGTCACGGTGGTCACTGTTCACAAGTTTGGAGATCTGGACCCCAGACCCTTTCTCTTTTTCAAGATTCAAGTGGCAGCTGCTCTGCCCACGGGTAGAGAGTCGTGACTTCATAAGAAACTGGGGACGGGGTAGCGGTACCGCGCGTTCCCCTCCACCTGCCTGCCGGTTAAAAGTTGCAAAGTCAAGCAGTATCGTACATGGTCCCAGCAAAGAAAAAACGAGCGGTTACGGGTTTGTGGTCTGCACACTGTGAGCACCGGGAGAAAGATAACCGGGAACCTGAGTGGGCGGGTGGGAACTCCCAGCACCAGGGGTCAGGCGTGCCTTCCCAGTGTGGTCGCTTAAGGTTTCAGGCTCCTAGGCAGCAGTGGGGGTGGGGGTGGGGGTGGGGGCGGGCACTTCCAACTCCAGTCCAGTGCAGGATTGAAGACCCTTGCAGAAGCTGTGAGATGCAGCTTACGTGAACTGGGCTACCTAGCAAGGGCAGGAAAGCACGTGGAGAATCTTGTCTGTGCGGGCAGGGGCTTTGACCAGCCGCCAGGAGGGGGAGGACAGAGGATGCACGCCACCCTTTGTAGTGGCAGACGTGCTGCATACCATCTGCCCGGCACAGCGGAGCCATCTCTACACTCCGCTATCCGTCTAATCATATCTTCTCATCTCCCTTTGACCCTTGTCATCACTCCGCATAACTCGTGATGGCCCCGGAACTCTTACCTTGCGTCCCACACAGGCACACGAGTGCTCAGTAAATTCATTGCAGTAGATCAACTCAGAGCCCTCACTGTTGGAAACTTACAGGGACTCTAACAAGAGAGGAAAGACCTCTGGGTCAAGCAGTCAATTTTCAGAAGCGCTTTCATTCCCCCAATGTTTATGCTTGTGAAGAGAAAGGGAAGGTGAAACAGCGGACATTTAGGTGCAGTCCCACACTTCATTCCGGTAGTTCCACTTTTCTGCTCTCACTGAGGCACTCAACGTCCGAGTCCTTTGGGGCTTCACCTTCCACCTCACACCCCACGGAGCCTCGAACCGTGCCCCAGTGCACAAGAACTCTAAATAGTATGACACAGGCCTACCGTCTTAGTTATTCAAGGGTTCCTTCAAATATATTTAAAGGAGGAGCCTTTGTTAACTACTTAGCATTTAAGGAACTGATCAACTTGACCTACACCTCATACATCAAAATGAATGGATTAAATAATTAGATGTAGAAAATAAAATTAGAAAGGTAAAGCAGAATTGAATCCTTTCTCAAAGCCCTGGGACAGTACCACGGAGAGAATTTTCTGAGACAACATGTGATAGGAGAAATCACATTGGAAAGACTTGAACCCTATAAGAATGTTAAATTGCTTTAAGATGACGGTATGACCAAAAATTAAAAATAAACAAATGGGGGTAAATATTCACAGTAAATATGATAAAGGGTTAAATTTCTAGTATATATACAGCCCATGAAAAGGAACAACAACAAAAATATGTTAAGACAACCTCTCAAAAGTAAGCTGCACAAGTGACATGAACTGGCATTTCCCAACAGAAGAAATAATCAAGGAAAAAAGATATAGAAAAAATAAATAAAAAATAGAAAAAATATGCATTAAGTCAAGAAAACTTTAAAAAGAACAAAATTAACAAAGCAAAGGGTTGTGTCAGGTGCCAGCGACTGTGGTGGAGTTAGCACTCACATTTCACTGGCACCATTGTTAATTGGTACAATTTTGTTGTGGTTTTTAAGAACCATGTGAGAGACATCACTTTTGACTTTGTTTTCCCTAGAAAACGTCTAGAAATTTATCCTAGAAAGATAATCAAGAATACTAAAGAGAAGAATACTATATGTACTAAAAGTTCATAATATTTGAAAAATGAAAATTTGTAAGCAACATAAGTGTCCAGTTATAGGTAAATGGCTGAATTACATGTCATAGCCATGGGATGGAATCTTATGCAGCCTTTAAAATTACAAGCATGCAGATAAATTTGCCACCTGAAAGATTTATTTGATGTGGTTAAGTGAGAAAAAAAATCACGATACAATAAGCACAAATATAACATGCATATAAAAATGTATGCACAACACTACTGTACTGTACACTTAAGAATGGTTAAGATGGCAAATTGGATGCTGTGAGTTTCATACCACACTGAGAAAGCGTATGCATCTGAGAAAAAAATGAGAAGATACTATGCCAAAAGACTAGCTTTTCTGTCGTGGTGGAGAATTACTTTTACTTGTCTTTTTTAACGTTTTGAAAAATATTTTATTATGTTAACATCTGAAAACATTTTATATTTACAAGCAACATTGCCTTCCCTGGCACCAAGTTCATTGTCACACAAGAATGCCATCACCTCTCTGACCAAGTGGGATGCTCTCATAACAGCCTGGTTTCCTCACTTTTCTGTAATCTTTTCTGGTTCATTTTATTCTAAGTCAGAAGGGGGAAGAAAACTGAAAACGAAAAAAATGATAAACAACAACAAACATTTCCAATGTCTCCTTTTTATTTGTACTTTTTCCTTAGAACTGGAGAAAGAAATTCTATTACATGATTTGGCAATTTCCTATTACTACCGCAATGACCCTGGGTTCTATCTTTGGAGGTGGAGGAGGAGGTACAGGAGGTCAGTGATCAAATCCTCTGGTGATTCACTTCATAAGAACACAGTTCTTTATAAACACCACTTGCTCAGATGCTAGAAAACCCTGTCACTATTTTGCTTTTGTTCTTCCCTTTTTAGGGAAACCAGCCAGCCTTCCAGTAAGTGTACTTGCACTGATCTTTCTCAGAAGGTGAGCCCGTGGGCTTCTGGTGGGGCTAGAATGAGCAAGTTTAAAGCAAAGACCCCTGCGTTGACCAGAAATCAGTCACGTGTCAGGCACTGTTGCAGGCATAGCAGTAGACAGAACAAAGCCCTGCACCTCATGGAACTCACATTCTAGAGCAGGGAGACAGACAATAAACAAGACGTAGTATTTAGATGTCGATGGGCTCTATGGAGATGGATGTACCAATATAAAGCAGGGATGGATAATAGGGCATAGTGAGGGGTGGCCAAGCAAGGTTTCCTAAAGGGGGCAAGATGGAGCCATGAGATATATCTGGGAGGAGTGGTCCAGGCAGTCCCAACAGTAAATAAATGCAAGACCCCCTTGTGAGTGTGCCTGGCCATTCCAGAAACTGTAGGAGGCTGGAGTGCAGTGAGGAAGGGCTGGATATCAAGAGTCACAGAAGGCAGAGGGCCTGGTCATGCAGGGCTCTCTGGACCACTGGCTTTTACTTGAAATGGCATTGGCAAACATTTCAGGCTGTTAAGCTGAAGTGTGACATGATCTGACTTAAGTTTTTATGGGATCATTTTGGGCCCTGTGTTAAGAAGAGACTGAAAGGGCCCTGGCCAGTTGGCTCAGTGATAGAGTAATAGAGCAACGGCCTGTGGACCAGTAAGTCTCGGGTTCGATGCCGGTCAAGGGCATGTATCTCTGTTGCGGTTTGTCCCCAGCCCTGGTTGGGGTTGTGCGGGAGGCAACCAGTTAATGTGTCCCTCTCACAGCGATGTTTCTCTCTCTCTCTCCTTCCCACTCTAGCTGAAGATAAATAGAAAAATATCCTTGGGTGAGTATTTAAAAAAAAGAAGAAGAGCCTGAAAGGGGCAATATAGAAAGCCCTGGAGGCTGGGGCAAATTTTCCCAGAAGTAAACGAGTGAAAGCCCCAAGGCCCCTCACATCCAGGCTCCTGGCAATGTGTTCACATCATGAAAGACTGGGATACAATTTGCAAAGTGGGGTATTTTAACCACAAATGGTTAAGACCACTGTCTCCCTCTTTTTAAATCCTTACCCAAGGATCATGGGTTTGATTCCCAGTCAAGGGCACAGGTTCAACCTGCTGTAACCATTACAGATAAACTGAGTGATCATCATAGCATTGAGCAGTGTAGGTAACAAAATACCACAGAGACTGGGTGGTAGTTTATGTGAGAAATTTATTTCTCACAGTTCTGGCGGCTGGAAAGTCCAAGATCAAAGTGCCCACCAATTTGGTTAGTGGTGAAGACTCTCTTCCTGGCTTGTAGATGGCCACCGTGTCACTGTGTCCTCCCATGGTCC